ACAACTGCAATGCCAGGAGTCGAATTAATACTATTAATTCCCTTATAATGTGTAAGATAGATTATTGCCTTTCGTTTTACGATAACTGCCCCCCTCGCATCTAAAGAAAATAAAGTATATCTACAACTCAGCCTTGAGAGTAGCTTTTCGAGCACTTCGTTTAAGGGGTTATATCCAGTTGCGAGGCGAAAAAAATGAGCTTTTTTGAAAATTATTTTTGGAGAGGCTATTTATTGTATGTATACGTGTTATATACGAAAAGATAGTTTATTTTTTCTAGTTTTAGAATACATTTTTAAAGAAAAAAATTTTTGGACTCCGTCGGTCCTGTAGAGGATCTCCCGAGGGTCCACTTCAAAAAAGGGTTTTGCGGTGAGGAAAATATCTCCGGTCCAAATGATCAGAAATAAAAAAAAACAGAAGGATTACGAAGAATAGACAAATGCTGGTAATGAGACTTGGGATTTTCAAAATTTTGATTTTTGACAAAATGGCGGCTTCCCAAACATAAAACTTTGTTTTTGGCACAAAAATTTCAACTTTGAAGTGGCAAAAAAATCGAAATTTTTGTCGGAGCCAAAATTCCAAGTCTCATTACCTGAAAAAAATATCTAAGAAGAGAATGTAAAAGTTTCAAGTCAATCGGTCAAGCCGTCTCTGAGAAATTTTCCTCACCGACTTTGAAGACATAGTTTCGAGAAAAACGCATTTAAAGTTTTGGCTACCAGTTGAACTACATGGGAGACGTCTTTACAAATACACTGATTACTCCAATACTATTTACCGGAATACTTTGAAATTTTCAGATAATCTTCTTAGATATATATACTTTCAAAATAGGCAAAAAAAAATGTCGATTATGTACTTCAAAATCGCAACTGGATATAACCCCTTAACGCCAATTAAAAATCTTCTCTATTAGTCCGAAATAATTCCAATTGAGTTGAGACATGACCTGACTGACCACTGCAAAAATTTATAAATAATTTTTTATACACATCCCATACCCCATTCCAAAACATTCTACAAAAAAATAAAAAAAATCTAAACAAAAACCTAAAATTCAGTCATACTCTTACATAAAGCAACGAAATTCGCTTACAAATAAATACGAAATCCTTTCCCCTTTAAATCCTTTAAATTCCTTAGACTAAGGTTCGGACACACAAGATTAACAAAAGAACACCTGTTTAACAAACAACCTCCCCCTCAATGTCAACGCTGTAACTCAATTATAACAATACGTAACATCCTATTAGAGTGTCCTCTTTACATAGCTGAAAGAAATAAAACTTCATCCTCAAATCCAGCAGATCCCCTAGTACTCAACACAACAAATATCCTCGCCACCATGGAATTTTTCAAAATTGAAATTTAATGCTAATTTAAGGAGTTATATACCTTTTTTTATTTTCAAAAAATCGAAAAATTTTTTATTGCTTTATCTTAAAGAACAACTCCTTGAGAACATTTTCCCAAATTTTCATAGAGATTCGAGCAGTAGAAAAAAGTTACAGCGCTCCTAACCGCGCGCCTTGTAGCGGCCCGAAACTAAACTTTAAACTTTAAACGCGAATATCTCGAAATGGTGTTTCTTGAAAAATGACTTTGCGGTGATAAGGATTGGCGGAAAACTACTGAACCGATTTACTTCAAATTTTTTTTCAAATGTTTGTAATGAAATTATCTTGTGCTTGAACGATCGACTTTTCACGCACAAATTTTTTTTCGCCGAAATGAATTTTTTAGTGAAATTTCTAGAGACCAAAAAGCTCATTTTTAGCATAAAACGTTCCCGTATGCATAAAAAAACAAAAAATTTTAAAATCGTTCGTTCAAGCACAAGGAATTACACTAAACTAATGGAATTTTTTTACTTTTATGGTTTCGGTTTACCTGTTCGACCTGGGGAATTATCACCGCAAGGCTCTTCAAAAAAAAGGCCTCTTAGGGAAACAGCCACCCCTTAAAAACTATTTAATATTTTTCCACGAAATTTTGCACAAACATTGTTAATAAAGTGTACTATCAAAAAATTAAAACATCCGTGTAATTAAATAATTGCTACATACCTAAAAAAAAAATCCGAACTTTCCTCTTTTTCTTCGACAAAGAAGGTATATAACCCCTTAAGACATTAAAAAAAAATGTATATAATTAACATGTAAAGCTTAAAGCCTAATTGTTATAGCTTAGCTTAAGTATGGGTGAGTGGTATTTTGTAATTTCCCCAAAACCCGAGATATAAATAAATAAAAAATAAAATTTTTTATTATGCCTTTGAAAGCACAGCAGGATATTTTGTATCCTTGCAGAGGGTGATATAATTTCAGTCACAAGTGAAGGAGACACCTCAGACTCAGTATATAAGACGGAAATAACTGGATCGGACGGCATAAAAAAAGAAAAATTAAAAAATGAAAGAAAGCTAGCTTCGGCGAGCCGAATATGATGTAGTTGGCCGATTTTGTGAAATTTTTATTCTCAACTAGTAAACCCAGCGAACTCCGTTCCGCCACCAGATGGCGATAGTTTTAGGTAAAACTTCGTTTGGTGTTTAAAAGATAAAGAAAATTTTTTTTTGTTTTATATATGAAAAGGAAAAATTTTATTTCGATACCATTAAAACTTTGGCCATTTCCGAGTGTTTTGCAATATTACACTTTGGTTCCTCAATAATTTGAAGATTTAACGGTAATTTTAATGCTGAATGAGCCGTTTGGCATCCTTCTAACAATATGGCTGTTATTCCCAAAGAAGCAACTGCAACAGCTATGTTGGATCTCGCCCGAACAGTTGCTAAAGCTAATGACATGAGGAATGTCTTGTCAGTACCACCAGGGGCATCTAGGAAATATAAACCACCATTTTCTTCATCGATTGCCTTCATTAAAGTATTATAAACTTTCTTCTGTTGGGAATTCAACAGGGGTACATTCGCTTGAACTAATAAATTTAATTCCTGGTGATCATATTCACGTTCCCGTTCTAATTCTCGATTAAATGCCTCATTCATTTCACGATTTGGCGCTGGCATTCTAACCTGATTAATATATTACCGCACATGAGGTAACACATATATTATCTTCGATCAAGAGTAAAACCCGATAATGTATCTCCTCATTCATCAAATTGTTCACAATCAGGATGGCGACTTCGTCTATTGTTGGAGCATTAAATGTCCTATCGTGTGTTCCAGATGGTCGTTTATCTGCTTTTATGACAACTTTATAGTCATCATTTGGCATGCGCTCTAAAGCACTCTTAAACAACCTGACCATCGCATGATGTTCATGAAGCAGACACTGCATGTCTTGAAGAATTGCTCGGTTCATCCCTTCATTGATCGCTAGACGTCGATCAAGTTGTTCTTCCATGTTGCCCATGAAATATATTTGTAAAAATTTTTTTTGTGTATCTTCGAAAGGTAGTAATGATCCAATTCGATGGTGAATCTGCCCTTGTATCTAAGATAAAGTAAGTTATTCTTTAACTATATTCTATGTAATACAAACAAAAAAAAAACCTTAAATGTCGGATTAAATCCTCGTTCTTCGATAATATCTGCCCCAAATGACGTCATTTGGAAACAACCATTGTATTTTCGGGTATTTGCAAGAAAGTGGCGTGATTCTTGTGTTTCACCACAAAGCAACGAATACAATGGCTCAGGTGGCGGAGTCAACAATGGCAATTTAACTTTACCATTAAAGCAGCATAATCCAGGCGTTTCTCCGGAAAACTTCAGTGCACCGCAATACTCGCAAACAACGTCCATTTGCCCAATGCAAACGCTAGGATGCAAGCTGTAATCAGTGATGCAATCGTATTGAAACGCTGCTCGATTCAAATCAGCACTTGATAAATTTCTTCTGCGTCGCAAATGATCTATTTCTTGACCTCTGTTGTAAGCTCGACGATTCTGCATTGTCAACCGAGCCGTATTACGGATTGCCTCTCTTTGCTCTGCTGATTGAGAAGCACGAAGTCGACCCATACTAACGCGGTTCTGTTCACGTTCAATGTTTTGTTCTTCTTCAGACCTTCCATTTGCAGTATTTCGTAGTCTTCTTGCATTACGGCTTTGTCGGGAAATGTCGGCATTATTAATTAAACTTCCCTTCACTTCAATTCACAAAAAGCACGAAAAACTTCATTTCACTTCAATTCACCAAAATCACAAATAAGTTCAATTCACTTCAAAAAAAATTGAGTTAAAATGCTATGGTAGTGTGCTTGTCAGTGTGATGAGGTAATAACTCAGTTTATATGCGATTTTTGGTATGTCGAACGGAATAAAAAGTACCCTAAGTCCTATTCCGGGCTCTAAGCTACCTTCCTACCAATTTTCAGCCAAATCTGTTCAGCCGTTCTTAAGTTATAAGTGGTGTAACTAACACAACTTGCTTTTATATATATAGATTCCAAGGGAAGTTTAAAAACTGGATGTTTTAAAAATCATGTTCGTGGGATAAAAACCAAAAAGTTATCATTTTTTTCCATTACTTAAATATAAAATTTTTCATCTTTTTTGTATGATATACTTATCTGATTTTGATAAAATTAAATACGAAAATCCATAGCGCTAAAAAACACCATCTGGTAGAACTCAAGTCGCTGTGATCAAAAACAACGGCGTGATCATTTTTTTTTCGTTCTCTCGTATGGGAGCTATCCGAAATAGTCGCCCGATCCAGCCCGTATATACTATACACCTTTAGATAAAGTTATATCAAGATAGCTTTAAAACTGAGAGACAGGAGGACAGACGGTGTACATATGTACGTATTTCAATTCAGATCGTGATGCTGATCAAGAATTTATATACTTAATTGGTTCTGGGATGTCTCCTTTACTCCGTTGAAAACTTACGACTGAAATTATTTTGCTCTCTGCACGGGTATAAAAATTAACCGCTTTATTTTTTGATCATACTGGCACGATTTGCTTGAACTGAAACAATTAATTAAAACTATCTATTTGTATTTTTTTCGTTTCAGAATTGAACAAAAATCCAGTGGAAGGATTCTCAGCTGGTCTCATAGATGAAAATGATATATTTCGGTGGGAAGTCTTAATAATTGGACCACCAGATACATTGTAGTATGTTGTCAATGTTTTTTTTGTAATTTATACTAAGCCTCAAAGTTGAAAACCCTGGTTTTCGAATTGAATTGAAAATGCAACTTTTGTCTTTTAAGTATATTCTTAAAAGAAAAAAGTTGCATTTTTAGTAATCCCTATGTAGATATAGGATACTTTTCCTTCATCGACATAAAATGTGCTTTCTAATAAGTTTGTTGTATATAGCTTTTACAGTGTCTTCTCAAACTGTGTGGTAAAGTTTTAAAGCCCAAAAAAAGGCTGTTTGAATTTTTATCGCTGTTAATTTATTTTTTAAAAATAGAAAAAAAATTAAAAATTAAAAAAACTTTTTTGATTACTTGCGTATTTATGTGGAGAATTTGTGTTAAAAATTTGAAAAGGATCGGTTCAGTAGATTTTTAGTTCTGATGTTCACCGACTCTCAAAATAATGTTTTCGGGAATACCGATTTTTTATACGTGAAAATACGACCAAATTCGGTCGTTTAAAACGCTGTAAATCCGTTAGTTTGACTCTAATTGACTCAACATTTTTACACATTATTCGCAACGTATTGGTCTTTAAGATAATTTTTTTTTTTTTAAATGGAAAAAAAATTTTGAAAACCTTACCCCCCTTGAGCGACTTTTGAACTACGAATTAAGTTTTATAAAAATCTGAAGACAGCCGAAAAAGTCGAAGTCATTATTTTTCAACTTATTTATCGCTAAAACCGAAATGTTTAAAACTATAGCTGCCAAACAATTTACCAATTTCGAATAGTGCACGTGGCAAATTTCTATGCCCTTACAGAGGGTATTATAATTTTAGCAAGTAGTTTGCATCGCTGAAGTCAGCATCACCATCTAAGTCGGTATTATAGTACCTTACGGTAAGAACGAGGGCAGCTATTCACGAGTGTCGTCTCGTATTTACCGCAAGTGGTACATACGGTGCTTTTTGTCCGTAAACCCGTAAATTTTGGCATTTTGAGTGCAAACTGTAAAACAGCTGAAATAAGCGATTTACCGCACGGAATACACGACCGAAAAATGCCAATTTTAGGGGTTGAAGAACAAAAACATGTTATCTGTTCGTCTTTCCGTTTCATCGCAAACTGGTCTTTCAGTTTAAATGTATCTCAATGTAACTTTACCAACGGAAAACGGAACGGCTAAAATAGGACGGCTTTATCTATAGAAAAAAAAAAAAGTATGGAAACTAGCTTCGGCAAACCTATAAGCTTCGGTTTGCCGAAGCTAGTTTCCATTCTTGTTTTTTTGCAGTAATCAAATATGTAGAATCAAATACGTTGAGGCTAAACAACATCGAAGCTATGTCGATTTGTTTATTAACGACAATTGTTCATATAAAAGCTACAGTGGCGAGCAAAAATGAGTGTTTTGCACGTTTTAAAAAAATAAATTAATAAATCCATTTTAATAGTTGGTCCACAAACCCTTAGGGGGCCGTCCATAAACCTCATGACGCTCCTAGGGGGGTGGGGGGTTCATCAGAGAGTCACGGTTTGTTGTAAGGAAGTTGTAATTTGTATATGTGATGCGTCACATAGGGGGGGGGGGGTCAAAAAAGCCAAAAATTAGCGTCACGAGGTTTATGGACGGCCCCTTATTAGCAATATTTTGATTAATGCTGTTTGTCTTGCTCTCTACCAAATTTTGTATAACATCTTCAGTGATTTGCTTCCATTCCGCTGTTACTTGTTCCCAAAGGTTGGCCATGTTTGTTGGGGCTGCTTTGTACTGCCCGAGCCGTCTTTTAACGATTGACCAAAGATTTTCAATCGGATTGAGGACGGGACTTTGCGCTGGCAACACCATCAGCTGAAAATGTTGTTTGCCAATCCATTCCCTAACAATTTTCGCTGTGTGCTTTGGATCACCATCTTGTTGAAAAACAATGTCGTCTTCTTCCATAAAATTGGGAAGATAGGTTTTTAAAATTAGTAGGTAGTCCCCTTTTGGCATGATACCTTCTATCGAAAGAAAAGGCCAACATGCCACCAGGTGAAGAATCCCCAAACCATTATGTTTCTGCCGCCATGTTTTACAGTTTGCTTTACATGGTGCCTTTGAAGCCGTTCTGATTTAAAATGGTTAAAATCAGTATTCCAGTTTTTGTGGTCAAATTTCAAACGTGCTTTGAGGGGGGAAATACAATTAGAAGGCCTAAAATGAGACCTATTTTTGAGAGTGGATTGCAAGTAGGGATTTAAATGAATCTTAGCGATTCTTTTTGCATGTTATTAAGAAATTATTGAGCAATCAAAATCAGTCAAGTTTGTTGAAAATATTGTATTTAAGCCCATTTATGATCAATAATGTGGAGTAGTTTTTTGAGGGATGAACTTTGCGCTGTGCAGCGAGATCCAGGATCTCGTCTTAAGGCAGTGGTCTGCTTTAGGAGCCGAAAAAATAGCGTTTTTTCAACAATTTTTTTGAAAGGGAAGGAAATGATTGCGGTAAACGAAATTTTGAGACGATATAATATTATATTTAAACTTTAAAAAACAATTTTTATTATTGCAAATAATTGAAATTAGCGGAAGTTGTAACGATTTTTCTGGGGCGCCTGGAGTGTGCACTTGTTAACCGGTGCCGGTGATGGAGTTCGCGCGATGCATCTGAATCAGTGGAACCAAATTTTTTTTACTTTTTATAAGTTCCTTTTCTATATGAACTAAAAAAATTCCGAAGAAATTACAAATTTCCAAATTTCCAAAAAAATTCACTTTTTTGGAAAAAAAAGTTCACTTTAAGTTGCAAATCAAGTAATTTAATTAGTACTTTTATCCATTTTTTTTAGTTCAAATGGAAGGTAATTCAATACTGAAGCTAGATCACTTTGGTTTTTTTCGATCGGACATATATTTTTATACCCTTGCAGAGCAAAGGGTATTATAATTTTGGCCAGAAGTTTGCAACGCAGTGAAGGAGACACCTCAGACCCCATAAAGTATACATATTCTTGATCAGCATCACGAGTAGAATCGGAATACGTCTGTACGTCTGTCCGTCTGTCCGTTTCTGCCTAAACTAGTCTCTCAGTTTTAAAGCTATCTCGCTGAAACTTTCCCAAAATGTGTGTAGTTATTGCACGCAGTATATAAGTCGGAACGGGCCGGATCGGCCGACTATATCGGATAGATCCCATACGAGAGAATGAAATAAAAAATTCTTACTCCGTTGTTTTTGATCAGATCGACTTGAATTCTTCAAGATGGCGTTTTCTAACTGTCATTGAATTTCGGATTAAATTTGATCAAAATCGGATAACTCTATCATATAGCTGCCATAGGAGAGATCAAAAAATATATATAGAATTAATGGAAATAAATTGATAACATCGTTGTTTTTTATCCCACGAGCATGATTTTTTGAATATAAAGTTTTTTAACAACGTTTATATTGAGAAAAAAGTTTCATAAAAATCGGTCATCTATATCTTATAGCTGCCATAGGAAAGATCGAAAAATCTATATAGAAATAATGGAAATAAAATTATAACATCCTTGTTTTTCATCAGACAAGTATGATTTTTGGAATATAGAGTTTTCTTACGACTCTTGAATTACGAATTAAATTTGATCAAAATCGGACAACTATATCGTATAGCTCCCATATGATCTATAGTCAAAAATATGGAAAATGAATAGAAAAATCGCCTTAGCTTCGATGTTGTCTAGCCTTTATGAGTTTTGTTCGACATATTTGATGACTGCAAGGGTATATAAGCTTCGGCTTGCCGAAGCTAGCTTCCTTTCTTGTTTTTACTAGGGCCGGCACCATTTTCCAAAGCTTGTGAAAATAAAAACTCGAGAAAACGGGCTGTAAAGTCTGCCCAAGCATACGAACCTGCTCTACGCTCGGCCACTAAAACTGATCTAGCTTCGAAAATATGTCGAATTGGCCTCTAAAATTTTGAGCACATATTCTGGATAGTTTTGGAATAGATTTAAGACAAAAAAAAAAATCGATTTTTTGAAGTCTGTAAAGCAGACCACTGCCTTAAACAAAAAAAACAGCAATTGGACAATAAACTTAAAGATATAGCGCACAACTTGAATTATTTCGTATTTGAAAAAAAAAAATTTTTACATTAAAAAAATTTGAGGTTAAAAAAAAAAATGTTTAAAAAAAACACTTTTTTCGACTTTGTTCGTAAAAAAAACCTGTTATAACAAAAAAAATATGAAAAACCGTTATATTCATGTTGTGGTGAATTTCATTTCAAACATAATGCAAAAAACCACATTCGATTTAAATAAAATCTCTGACCTGTACATTGCACGGCGACTTTGAAAACACGACTTTTCAGTAGAAGCGTTTAAAGTTTACGTTGTGCCATTTCAGCCAAATTACGTATTACAGTCGAATCCCGATAATTCGTACCCCGCTAAATCGAAAATCGCGATAATTCGTAAAAAATTCTGTCCCCCTGAAAAAAACTCGTTAATTCGTAAAAATTCCATACATTTTGGTCCCCTCGTTAATTCGTAGTATTTTGCGCAAAGCAAAGAATATTGAACCTCTTATAAATCGTAATTTTGTTTCGTAACCTCTTATAAATCGTAATGCGATGCGAAATTTTTTCAGTTAGAGCACCGTTAGATTTTGCAGACAGCTATTCCGCCTTTCTGTCGCCTATGCATTATGAATTTTGTGTTTCTCTCGCTGTTTTTGTTTAGTTTGCTGATTTTTTTCGGAGAGTAACAACGTTCTGTGAAAATGTCACAAAAACGTACGCATAAGACGTTATCAATCGCGCAAAAACAAAACATTATTTTAGCGATTGATAATGGAAAAAGGTTTAGAAAACGCAATGGAAAAAATAAAAGAAAAAAACACCAAGCAATCAAAAATTACCAATTATTTTAAAGATTGAATTTCTGTTTTTTATAATATAATTCTGCTGAATTGTTTAATTTTTTGTTATTATAATATTATGTTATTGTTTAATTTTCCTTTAATATGAAAACGTACAAATGAATGTACATA